GTCGACAGCGCTATAGAAGGACTACTTACACACTTGTCCTTCAGCTGTGCTATTCTTTCCCCTTCAATTATTTCTTTTGTCAATGCGTTTCGGCATGCAACGCGCGCGGCCAAGCTCTCCTCGACCCATGATTGGTCTGTCGGCGTGGTCGCTCCGTTCGTTCCCAAACGTAGGGAAAAAGTTCAGCACGGCTCAGTACCTTGCCTTGTGAACGAACAGGAACGAAAAGGCCGTTTGAAGCTTCGTTATATCGCGGCAACTCGTCGCTCCAACCGGTTGCAATCGTTCGTAGTTGTAGTGGCCACTCCGAAGGTAAGTGTGTGAACGGGCTTTCAGTGATCACTTATTTCTGCTTGCTCTTACAGTGGGGTTGTAATTTTCTTGTCTTCAAACAAAACAATACCTGCCTGATAAGAAAAAAGTGTTTTTGAGTAAAAAAAAAATGCAAAGAAGGGTTTGAAATTTGGTCAGGAACAACGGAAAGAAACATACTGGTTTCGATACAAAAATATTTTTTTCCGACTTCCCAGCTTAGATTGAATTTAATAATTAAAATTAAAAAAAGAACCCGTATTTTGAACATTTCTTTCCCCAAGTCTCTAAGCACCAGGAGAGCTCAAATTCCCCGGAGAAATGGCTCAATAAATAAGAACCCTTTTCCTCACGTCATAAGATAGGACGCCGTGAAACATAATCTGTCATGTCCGCACACAGTTTATTGGCAAAATCAAATAAACACTTTTAAACAGTGCGCGCCGTCTAACAGATGGTGCGAAAATCATCCGAATCCACCATTCTTCAGGCATGTACTTCAAGCACGTATTGTACGCGAGGGCAGCGTCAGCGCTCGCTGTAGGACTGAGATCCAATCGCACGCTTTGTGCACAAGAAATGGCGACTGTCAGTGTTGCTTCGTCTGGTTTTTAAAAGGGTCTATTACTGGCTCGACGTTTTTCAGCAAGTGCCCCTGATCCGTAGTTTACCAGAAGATGACCACTGGCACAGGAGCCCTCGAACCACTAGGCGGAATTTTTCCACCTTGTGGGTGGAGTCCCTACTGCAGATTTGGTGTTGGCACAGGCTATTGGCGATTGCACAGTGCCGACAGCAGTGCCACCGCAGTGGAGCAGCGTCTGAGCATCGTCCTGGTGCATGCGGGGCGCAAGTTTGTCTGCTTCTTGCACAGGGGTTGTGATGATGTCAGAACACCGAACTCTTATTGACTGATTGAAAACAAAATAGTGGGTAGACCTCAAGGCACCTGGCATTAAGGTCTACCCACTATCTTTTCGATTAAAGTCAATCAGAGTTCGGCGTCGTTCTGACCTCACCGCAACTCCTGCGGAAAAAGCAGACGACTGGAACTCCGTATGGAAACCTGTCTCGATGCCTAAATATTTACTACACCCAATTTGTTTGCAATGACCAGACACCTTTCTGGTCTCCCTCTAATACTGGCTAAATAACAAGGCCTTTTTTCCTCTAACACCGTCACTCTTCTTTACTCGAAACAAACACGCAGCGCCTCTTGGGAATTATCGCAGGGGGGCACAATGTATTATAAGATATATCAGAATCCTCGCGGCACACCACTTGCGCTGTAACCAATTCCACTTTGATATGGTACTCACAAAAACTAAATATTTAAAAAGACTTGTCCTGGCGGCATACGGTCGAACTTACCAAGAGTGATCTGTTGGTGGCAAGATATGATTTGGCTGTTGTACACATATGATGAATGATAAATTTCCGCCATTCACGGTGGAAACTAATCGTTCTTTGCATTACCTCTCCTATGCAACTCGATAAAGCTCTTGGTGTATGAGAAGCAATGTTGTAGGGAGAGTTTCCTGGTTATAAAAAGACAAATATCCTGCCATCCTTCCAGAATATAGGTGTTTGTCCCGCCTTCTAGGAATCGTTGAAAACATTTAGTAGTAGTTTTTGACCGCGGGGGCGCAGGTTGGCGAGGGTCATTTTGAGCCTGATATTGAGTGTCAGGTGCAATATGGTGGGCTAACTGTTCAGCTGGGACTTTGTCCACCCTGGATGCTGTTGTGACCTTATCGTTAGCGCCATTATAACTTTTGTTTATGCTTGCATGAAGATGGACTCGCATACTTAGCGGAAAAAAGTGCCCGCTAGTCAGGCCTTGATCGAGGGTATTGTTGGCTGTCCATCGGGCTGTTCTGTAGTCCAACGTGTCTTGCTTTCGTAGTCGACGTATTTCCAGTTCATATTTACGTTTCGCGCACTGTTGTGATGTCGTTTCGTGTTCCTTGCCACGATTATAGCAGCGGACAGTTGTTGCCTGGGCATCACAGTTAGCTCGCTGATGTTGTCCAGAACAACGCCAGCATACTGGAGAATTTGTCAGGTAGATTTGATATTCCCAAAACGGCAACATATATGACATTGAATTGGCGTTTAGGCGAATGATTCTACTTTGTGCCGTCTAAACAAAGAAAAACACACTGAAGAAGTCTTGATGACAGTGCAACATGCAGTAGCACTTATGGCTACTGCATGTTGTGGACAGTGTTGCCAGGTTGGGCTTTGTATAGCCAAATGGGGCTACACGTTCTTTCTAGTTGGCGTCAAAAGTTTGTGGTTGGCTATGTGTCTATTTCGGGCTATTTCTAAGAATGCGGCGAACTATTGTTGAACCTCAGGTTCGACGCCAAACTTTGAGGTTCGGCGGCCCTGCGGCTACAAGCCCGGTAGAACACCTTCAACCCGGACGCATATGGCTCTGCCCGGACGTAGACTGAACTCTCCAAATGCTGTTTTGGTGCCCATTGTAAAAATCCTTAGGCACCCAAGTTTGTAAAAATGAGAAGTCCCCAATTTCACCGCTAAACACATGACTACCTTCCAGTCGTTCTTCACCCCAAGAAAGGACAACACAATCAGAAATAACGTGAACATGAACGGGTGACACCAATATTTTTCACAAAGAAAAAGAGACGGGTGGGATATTGGTAAGGACCTGAGATATTGGGGTTCTGATTTGAAACACCCAGGGTTCTGACTTTTCCGCTTCTGTTTTTTGTTCTTTTCTGTATGATCATATCTCCCGGGCTTCACAATAAAGCGGTCTTCGTGTGTTTTGTAATTCTGAAAACCGAAGGAAGGGTCAGTTTTGTACGAATTTTCATCTTCCGAAGCATTTTTTTTTTAAATTCACAATAACCGAATGTAACTAAAAGTTGGTGCATCTCAGGGTTGAAACAGAGTTTGTAACGTGTATTGTATGAGTGTGAGAAATTGTGAATATCAGGCTTAAAAATCATTGCTTTTAAACTTGGCTATTTGGCTATATTTGAGCTATACCTCCCAGTCAATTGGTGGTTTTTGGTGGGACCATCTGGCAACACTGGTTGTGGATGTACCCATCTGACGAACAGATGTAACTGTTGTGTTGTTATTTGTTTTAACTCTTCGTGTATCTCGGAAGAGTTGATGTTAGTATAAACTCCTCTCATGACTCCGGTTGCCTGGGCTTGGGAACGGGGCTCAAAGGATTTAACAGCAGTTCTTAGCAAAGATGTCAGCTTCAGAAGAGATGCAAGTCCTTCAGCATTTCGTGCATCGACATAAATCAGGTTGATTCTGCAGTTCGTGCGAATTCGAACAATGGAGGCGGGTGCCTTTGATTGGAGTAGCTCTGTCAGTTTTAGTTGGCTTAATTTGGAAATCAGTTTTGTCTCATCTGCTGGCTTGAAGATGACAGTCGGAGTTGAAGGTCGGGCCTAAACAGACATTTTTGTATTGTTCGAAGACGAACTCTTAGGTTGACGACTTCGTTTCTTTGCTTTTTTGATAGCTACAAAGTGTAGCCCTCGTCGTCCGTTGTAGCGGCATTATCAATGTCCAAAAAGCTGGAAAGATGCTGCGCAGCGGTCAGGAAGTCGATGCACATGTTTGTTTCAGTCGTTAAAGAGTCATCCACGGTTGTGCAATCGCTGTTCGGCAGTGCAGGTCGTTGGGCTAGTCCTTGGAACGTCGCTGCTGAGTGGGTCGGTTCATTGCTAGATACCGTCTGGAGTTGGTGGGGGGGGGGGGGGGGGGGGGCGATGAGCTCCCCGGCTCCAGAGGCCATACCGGGGTCGAGGTAGATGAACGGTGACTGTGGTAGCGGAGGGTTCAATTTCAGGGTATTATTTACGAAAATATTAATTAGAGGGGTGAAATGGCGCTTCAGCGTAGAAACACTTGGTCATCATCTTTTTCTAAAAACCCATTGTTCTTTTTTAATCTACACACAACGTGCTGAAAGTGAAAATACCAAGTATATCTTTTTAAACGAATCGCCGCGACACCATACTCTAAAAGCAACTTGTGAGTTCACTTTTTCGTAAAACAAACAAAAAACAGCAAATCACCTCGAATATTTGAAGGATCTCAGCCAAAGAAAAAGCTCAAAATACATTATCAGGTTTGTAAAATAGTATGGGCACAGAGACAATGTTAAACTAAAACGTTATGCTTGTTGTTTCTGTGCGCATCGCAAGTTTCTTTTTCTTTTTTTTTTCTGTCTATTCATATTTTGAGTTTTGAGAGGAGGATATGAGAGAGCGTGGTGATGTCAGTGCTCCAAGGTCTGGTTGGAAGGATTAGTGGGAAAGATGTGTTGTCCCGTCCCCTCTCTTTACGTATATATCTCTTTCTGAACTTAAAACACCAAGGCTAGCTCTTTGTTCTCCGCCCACTCTCTACGTCGAGACAAAGCAAACAAGTCCGTCGTCTGCTCCTCGTACAGTGCCTCGCGTTCGAACGGCGACAACGGCGGCCTTTTTATCTACCCACTAATCATACCAATAAGAGCTCGGCGTTCGGATATCCAGGAGCTCATTCATCTCGGTATCTCTCTCCCTCTCTCTCAGTTTATCCTCGTACTGTACAACGTGACTGGAAGCCCCAATGTACTGCAGAAACGCAACCTCACGAATTATGTTTTTATTATTTTTTTTTTATAGTAGCGGCGCTGATCTTTGATTTCAGGGCGTTTCTCCGGCGATGCTCTTGATCCAATCGAGCCGTGTTGAGGTTCTCGAGAATACAGGCGGGTAACCGGGCTCCGCGCACTCTGTACCAAATGATGTGCTTCCCGCCAACACGTAGCGGCCGTCCTCCCTTGGACACACCAGGGGTCCTCCGGAGTCACCCTGGGTAGAAGATTTACATAACTAACTTCATCCACCGACACGTCCAGAAATGGTAGTGGCACTTAAAACAGACACTTAATGGCAAGAATGTCTGCGAGTTTCTGAACTTGACAGAAACCCTGAGTCTCGAATGTCTGAAGTCTAAATCTGCGGTCACACAGCGAATGAATCATACAGAAGACAGATTGCAGACAGTGTGGGCGTGTTTCTTTTAGACTAAGGCTAGGTGGCGCAAGCTACCGCCCATTAAAAAGGTTATAATCATTAGTATCCATTGAACCATCCATCCATTCTTCCGACGGTGCTGTCAGATTGGCCGTACGAAAACTGCGTGGACACATTTTCGAAGTCGTTAAATGTATGGAGCGGAAATTCTTTGAACATGCTTCAGGTGCGTGTCTGAAAATAATTGTCATCACGTTTCAAGTGAACTCGGTAACTTTTGTACAAGGTATAACCAGTGAGCCAGCTTGGTCAAGTTGACAAAGACCGGGGAAAAAGAATATCCTTAGCACAATCTTATCACCTCGCGAAGATTGACGCCGCGTGACTTGAGGTCGTGGTCGCGTCACATCAAGTTCACTCCTAAATTTAGCGGGGACAGTGATATCACCTGACTTGGGGTTGCATGACGTGACCAGGTGACGCCGATTTCCTGGCTAAATTTAACGTGAAAATAGACGACATGTGACCATGATTTCGCCGCTAAATTTAGCGGACAAACTGACCGTACGGTCCTTCCCGATGGTGTTCCTCGAGAAGCTCGACTGATTAAACACATCATGTGTTGGTATTGGTTTACCTCGCACGTCGATTTCCCGCCCTCCTCGTAGCCAGCGCAGACCATGGTGTTCTCGTCCACCTCGGCGACCCCCTCGTAGTCCTCCTTGCACTCCTCGAAAGGTACGATAGGCAAGTCCACTTTCTTAAGGATCTTCGAGACCTTGCCACCATCTGCGCATGCCCAAACAATCGGCGTTATGGTGTCGATCCGGATCTACAACCTTCGACAATATGAACGACTCATGCACTTAACGGGGAAGTTTTAGCCAGAATTTCACGGACCTTATTACACAATTACTTTTGAAAGTAATTGCGAAATTATTTCAATACATTTATTACCAAGTAATTAGACGGGTTATTTGATTACTTGTGGGAGTACTAATATTACTAATACCCATTAATATTTTTGCCTCCTGTTCCCAAAGTCGCGCATTGTTTCTTCAAGTTACCCACCAAGAAATCCTCAAAATAAATCTCATACAAAAATATAGTTTAACGAAAAGTGTGAATTAAACAGATAAGTAGTCATTAATTTGGTGATTCTAATGTAATAAATGAACAGTAAAAACATTGGCTTTAAACCGACAAACACTTTTGACGTGTTGAAAATCTGAAGTGATCGAAAAGGTAACGGTACAATTTCAAGTAACAGCAAATTACACTTTTCTTTTCAAGTGGACGACTGATCTTATTTATTTTTAACCAATAAAAGTTGTAATTGTGATCGATGTTGTTGTTTTTTTTTTTTATTAGTAACGTGTTCAAAACTGCTTTCAGTTGGTAATGCTGTGCATTAGCTTTGGCTAGGTTCATATTGCTCGGGGAGAGGAAATAAAGAAAAGTTTGTCCTATTCGCTCTCTTTTAAAACAAAGCGTCTCCGCCTTAATAAGTGTGCTTAGCACCACCGCATCAATTGCCACCGCGAATGGGAGTTTAATAATGTGTGAAAACCGCATATTGTTTCCTATTGTTGATGACCGCTGAATCTCCGGTGAAATGAATGCATTGTACGAATATATTGAAAAGAAAAATAAACCAAATAATAGTTCTTTAAAGACGGGATGCGTTTTTAGCAGAATTTAACAAAACCGACTACTAGAATGTTATCAGTCACTCCGGGCCTCTCTCCCTGCGTTTCCATGGTAACTTTCATCGCCAGAAGTTTGTGACATCGTATGCTCGCGCCATCTCTTAGAGGGTTACGGAAGTGCTCCAATCGAAGCTCATGCAGTTAATATACAAATATGACCATAACATCAAAACGTTACGCTTTGAACAATTTTCTTTGCTATAACTCCATTTTATCATATACCGCTATTCTTGTGTTAAAATTTCAAGATGACGGCGTGTAAACTGAGGGTTCCTCCGTCCAGTCGAATAAACTTTTTGATGTATAGCCACTATGGACAGTATTCAAGTTAATCAAGGTATTTAATTTATTCTTAGGTATCCAAAAAAAAAAAAAAAAAACTCGCTATGATTGCATAAGTTAAATGCAATCCCTTCCCAACGTTCTGACAAATTTTACAGTGTCTAAGATATTATTATTATATTAAAATATATATTTCGGAGGCACCTCGCGCAAATTTTCGAGCAACAGCGAAGATCAAACGAGTACAATTTTAAAATACAGCGAAGTACAAGGTTTGACATATGACTGATTACCTCATCCTTCTTTTATTTTTAAAGGGACTTAGTTTTTTCTTCTTTTTTTTTTTCACTTGTCACACACTCCGTTTAGGCGGTAATTTGCACACGGCGTTAAAGTTAAGAGTGAATACGCCGCGTGGAGATAGATAAGTGAACTGGAAGCGACTGTCGCAAATTTTTGACCATGAGTGTCAAAATTGACGTAACTTCGTAACCTGACCTCACCTGACACGTACCGACTGACTTTTTAGATATAAACATACATCTATCTTTTAGCAAACATACATCTTTTAATATTTTTAGAACGCAGTCAGTTTTATGCTATATCACTATATTTGATTTGTGACCCATTATATAGGACAACTAGATATAAAAAAAATCTGCTATAAAAGTACAATATTGAAAAAGAAAACTGCCCTAAGATCAATTGCAAACAGCATCAACAGGCAGAGTGCAGTGTAAAACATCGACTCAAGTATGTGGAATGTCAAAGTGGAGTAGTATATCAAATACCGTTAACATTACTAAGTTACCTGTAACGCCGAATTAGAGCGCAGCGCTTGATGAGGAGGGGAAGGTTCGAAAAGGAAGCTATGCCCCTTCTCTCCTGCTCGCCCCCCATTTAGGGCAAAAATTTCCCCGCTAAATATAGCGGAAAACATTCCCCGCTAAATTTAGCGGGGACATTTTCCCGCTAGATTTAGCGGGGAAAGTTTTCCGCTAGATCTAGCGGGGAAATTTTTTCCGCTAAACTTGGCGGGAAAAATTTTCCGCTAAATATAGCGGTGAAATTTTTCCGCTAAATATAGCAGGGAATCTTTTCCGCTAATTTTAGCGGGGAAAATTTTAGGCTAGATTTAAAAGGGATTCCGCTAAATTTAGGTGGGAAGTTTTTCCGCTAAATTTAGCGGGGAAAATGTTCTGCTAAATTCAGCTGAGAAAATTTTCCGAGAAATTTAGCGAGATTTTTTTTCCGCTAAATTTAGAGGGGACAGTTTTTCGCTAAATTTAGCGGGGAAAATCTTTTCCTAGATTTAGACGGGAAATTTACCCATCCTGCACCACGCGGCTACGCCGACGCCGACGCCGACGCCGCTCAAGCTGGAAACGGGCGCCTAAGAGCTGAGCTCTAAATGCTGTGGCCAGACGAAATACTCTGGCCGTAGATACTGATATGGTGCCTGGAGCGTGTCTTCCACTGGTGTGTTTAGCGTCCTATCCCGCGCATACATCAAAAATGGTCCCAAAGTGGCAACAAGTGACGTCACAGAAGCCGAAGTGTCATGCTGTTGCATGTTGCAATCCTGGCGGCTGGTTGTTGAAATGCTAACGAGAAGGCTGCGAGTAGCACAACCGAACACGAGTGTCGCTGTCATCATGGCGTCCCAACTTCTGGCTGCCGAAACTTCCGTGGACCGCCACACTTGAGAGCGACTTGGAGTAGATCAGGCATCTGCTACAAACACCACCGCTGCTGGGACGCCGCCAGGATCGCGACCGGCGACAGCATGACACTTGTATGACGTCATCAGGCGGAAATCGAGGGACCACTTTTTTGGGCGCGCTGAACACACCAGTCGGAGACGCGTTCCAGGCACCATAATAGTGATACGAAATTGCCAGAAGGAGAATATGTTTGCGTGCCTAAATCTCGGTGCAATCTTTTGTGTAGAGACTCGCGTATTACGACTTGCGAACAAGAGCGCCATGTGTTGCCGCTACGGTCACATGGTCGCCTACGCACGCCAATAGGAGTGAGACACCATCCGCGAGTGAGCCCTGTTGCAGTGGTGACACTAGTGCGCTCTAAAAAAAAAAAAAAAACTTTGCTATTTACGTTTACACCAAGCACACGAAAGAGCCAATCACTGTAAGCTATGCAAGGATCTCGGCGATCGAAGAGGGTAAAAACAAATTTAAACCTAAAAAAGACATCTTGCACTGTCATAAAGTCTTGACTCTTGGCTCTTCGAAATGCTGTGCTAGAAATTTGACGCTCTTGATTTCTTGGAGTGTGTACTACCCTCTTGGTCAAATTGCTTCTATACCTTGCCTTCACGTTTTAGGATTTCACCAAAATATCTTCTATAGGTTAAAAAAAAAAGACCAACCTTTAGTGAATCCCCATCCGGTTGCGGTGCAGATCTCGCCATCGAATTCCTGGTTCTTTGTTGGAAGACAGATGGGCATCACAGCGCTGTCGGCACCGCTGAAGTCCAGTGGCGTCTTCAGCTTCAGAAGCGCGTAGTCGTAGGTCGTGGCCTTCGTGTCCCATTTGGGATGAATGCTCACCTGCTTTTTCAAAATAATACTTTTTTAAAAACGTGCTTTTGGAAGGCAGTCATTGAACATAGCAACGCTATATATACTCTAAAAAGTCTGCAGTGTCCACTTTCCCACAATGCAGCGGACAAGTAATCGAGCCTTGAAATAAGGACGGCCCACACCAGCCCGCAAAACGTCGCCCGTAATAATGCGGAGAACAAAACCAGTTTTTTAATATATATATATATATATAACCTCCGCAGGCCGGATTTGGGGAAATGTGTGCGGGACAGTCTGAGCAAGGAGAGAGCAAGCTAGCGCTCCGGCGACGGGCGGGTTAAGCGGGAAAGGGGAAAACGCATGTTAAGGGCCGCCCACACTTGCGAGAAAACGCGCCCGGCGCGCCGATAAATCGGTTAAGCGGGAAGATAAAGGGCGTGTCTCTGCACGTGCTCGTGGCGCTGACTGTGCTTCGGCGACATTTTGTTACTTGCCGCGATCGGCGTGCCACGCGCGTTTTCTCGCTAGTCTGGGCGGCCCTTTAGTCTTCACTAAAGTCACTGGACCCTGGGAAAGTAGGGCCATTGCCTTCGCTACCTGCTAGCCGGACACAAACAGATACTAACATACAGACGACCCAAACCTAGCAAGGCGATTGGCTAATCGGTCTGCGTTGCCATGGAAATCGCCATCTTGGTCCATTTAAATCTTCGAAGCTTCCTGAGGGTCGTTCTAAACCAGTCGCGCCAAGATAACCATGGAGCATCATCGTACTGGAGGCGTTTCTCGCCAATATAAGTGTCTTTGGCACTCTGTATGCAATCAACTTATTATTCATGCCCATCTCCATGGATCTCTTACAATTATATTGTTCTTCTTGCGTATTTCAATACAGTAAACATATTTTTCAGTGCCTCCAAGCACCGGCACAGCGTCTGGTGGTGGTACGAAGGTGTACGCTTGTTTCGCCGGTGTGTGGTTAGCAAAATCTCGGTATACAAAAAACCACTCCATAAAGCTACCCGTCACCAGCGAATCTAGATCGGCTCACCAAGAACAGAGGGGTCAAGGAGAAATTGCTCATTTCACGGACCAAGATGGCGACCACGCGGGGAGTTTGGCGCTACTTTCCCAGGATCCAGTGACTTTAGTCTCCACGGGCGGAAGAGGGAGAAAAATAACTCTTTTTTGGGCAGGTCGGCGGATGGACCGAAAAGGACACTTCGCACCACCGGAGCCAATGTATGGCTCAAAGGGCGTCACACGCTCTTCCGGTTAGGCGGAGTGACCCGGGGAGAGCTAAGTCACGAGACAAGCTACGAACTACGGATTGGCTCGTGTAGCTCATAGCGTCCATCTAGGCGCATTGTAAGGTGAATCAGAGAATCGGAGTGGTATCTGACCGTGCCGAGAGGGTAAAGAGCTATGATTTGTGTGTGTATGCGTGTGCGTGTCTGTGTTTCTTTTCCTTTCTTACTACTGAGAAATATTCCTTAAGGAAGGAGAAAGCCAACATAAACATCAAAGGAAAAACAATAAGTTGACGGCTGTCGGCGCATTTGTTCCGCGGGGGTGAAATCTGGAGTCAACAAGAGGCGAAGCCGCGACAAACGCGACACTGTGGCGTCGGTCGCCGGGATGAAGGTCGCCCAAAACCGACGCTGCTTGAAGAAAAACTGTTTGTGTGTGTGTGTACGTTTTCTAGAAAAAGCAAGTCGCCTGTTGTCTCTTTTATGTCCTCTTTTGTTTTAATTATCGTTCGACCGAACGTCGCTGTCTTTCTCCTTTTCAACTCAGTCGTTCCAGCAAGTCGTTCGTGCGATAATCCACGCTAGGTACGCTGCCGGAGTCAAGGTCAGGGACAACATTCCAAATCAAGGACGGAGACCGCACTGACTGGCCCAGTCAGGCATCGTCTTCGTCGTCTGTTTATTTACCACCGCGGTGGCGCCCTCGTGTGTACAACGCAAGATATCACACCCCTCCCACCCCTAATAATGAAAGTTAGTGGAAACTGAGAGATATAAAAAAAGGTTTGAAAAAATGAATCAGGGTGATTACGGAGAGTAGCGCTGCACAGGCCGACGCACCCTGGTGCCCCGACGGGGAGGTGTGGTGATAGTCGTTTGACGATGAGACGCTGTGCTTTCTGCAGCCCTTGGCTGCTGTTGTTCATCAGCTGGAACCTCTGGGCAGGTGACTTCAGGCGTATGACAGGGGAGGTCAGGTGCCAGAACAAGCTCTGCTGTTTTGGACATGTCAGGACCAGTGCCTGGAATGTCAGGGTCCTTCTCAATGTCCGCAGCTGTTCCAGCATGTCTACTGTGGTCAACTTGCGGCAACCGGTTCGCCTGCCGGAGATGATCATGGTGGCGCGTCCACTGTCGCCCGTCAGCCAGCTGGAGGTCCGATGAATATGTTCCGTGGGCGGTGACTACAGCCGGCATCCATGCAGGGCCTGGACGAAAGTTCTTGGCGAATACTTGATCACCAGGCTGTGCTTGAATCCGAGGTTTTGTTCTTTTGTCACATCTAATTTTCTGCTAAAGCTGCTTCTGCTGCACCGTGATCCTCATGTCAGGTCGAAGCAGGTCCATCGCAGTCTTCATTTTTCGTCCCAGCAGTAATTCGGCGGGGCTGCAACCGGTCACCTCATGTGGCGTCGATCTGTAAGTGATCAACATGCGCGCAATTTGTGTACGAAGGTCCCCCGGTCCAGCCTTCTGCAACTTCCTTTTTACAGTCTGAACTGCACGCTCTGCAGCACCATTAGACGCTGGGTGGTACGGTGGTACCAGTATTCGTCTCACCCCATTCTTCTTCAAAAGTGTGGCACACATGTCGCTCACAAACGCTGGACCATTGTCTGACACCACAATGTCCGGCAAACCCTGGTTTGCATACATGGCTCGCAGACACGTGGCGGTGGCCTCCGCAGATGGAGTTGAAACCGGAAACACCTCAATCCACTTGGAAAAGGCATCAACTGCAATAAAAAAATAAGTGTTGCGGTAAGGCCCTGCGTAGTCGACATGAAGTCTCGACCAGGGTTTGTCTGGGAACGGCCATGGCACGACGGGTATTGGCCGTGATGCTCGCTGCTGCTCCTGACAGGTGGGACATTCTTGCACAGCCGCAACAATATCATCGTCTATTTTAGGCCACCACACGTGGCTCCGCGCTGTAGCCTTCATCTTGGATATCCCTGGATGGCTTTCGTGAAGAAGCCTCAGGACGTCGCGTTAGAGAGATGCAGGAACCAACACGCGGTTGCCCCAGAGCACACAGTTGCCTTGTACACTCATCTCTGTGAACCGCGTCTCGTACGGTTTTTCCTCTGGTCCCAAATCCGACCGGCGGCCAGTCCACAAGGCCTCTCTCACTCGTGAAACCACTGGGTCCTGGGCGGTGGCCTCAGCGACAGCTGCTGACGACAGCACACGTGGGTACAACCCTGCCAGCATGAAGACTTCAGCAGGGCAGTCCACGGGAAAATCTGTTGTTGGCAGTGGCAGACGACTCAGTCCGTCCGCATGTCCGATATGGCTACCAGGCCGGTAGCTCAGTTTATAGCGGTACCCAGACAACAGCACGGCCCATCGCAGCACCCTTGGAGAGCACGACTCTGGAACAGGCTTGTCCGACGCGAGCAGGCCCAGTAGCGGCTTGTGATCTGTGATTGCTTCAAATGGTCGGCCCCACAGGTACTGCCTAAATTTCGTTACTCCGAATACGAGGCTCAACGCTTCTTTGTCCAGCTGGCTGTAGTTTTTTTCCGCAGCTGCAAGGCTTCGAGATGCAAAAGCAATGGGACGCTCCTCCCCCGACGCTTCTCGCTGTGCCAAGACGGCTCCGAGTCCACACGGTGAGGCATCCGTGATCAGCACCGTCGGCCTTGCAGGGTCGAAATGTGCTAACACTCCAGCGGAGGCCAGCAGCTTTTTACTTCTCTGGAATGCTTGCTCTTCTTCAGATGTCCAACGCCAGCGGGCTCCTTCCCCCAGCAAGTAGTTCAAAGGATACAACACATCTGACGAATTTGGCATGAACCTTCTATAAAAGTTGATCAAGCCCAAGTAGTTTTGCAGATCCTTCACATTCCGAGGCACTGGTGCCTCCAGCACGGCTTCTGTCTTGGTTGGATTTGGCTGAAGACCTGCGGAGCTGATGATGTGCCCCAGATACTCCACCTTGTCCGCCATGAACTCGCATTTGGACAGCTTTAGCCGCAGTCCAGCTTTCTTCAGTCGCTCCAGGACCTGGCACACATTTGCCCAATGGTTGCTGTCGTTGGTGCCGGTCACGAGTATATCGTCAAAGTATACTGTGACATGATCAAGGTCGTGTAGGAGGTTCTCCATCGCGCGTTGAAACAAAGCTGGAGCTGACGAGACCCCAAACGGAAGTCTGGTAAATTGATACAAACCCTTCGGGGTGTTAATGGTAACAAACTTTTGCGAGTCTTCGTGCAACTTGACCTGCTGGTATGCATCTTTCAGATCGAGCTTCGTAAACTTGACTCCCCCCGTGAGCCTTGCGAACAGCTCCTCGATGCGAGGGATCGGGTACGACTCGAGCACCGTCACAGGGTTGACTGTTATCTTGATGTCGCCACACAAGCGAACACGGCCATCCCGCTTCACTACGGGAACGATGGGCGCCGCCCACTCGGACGTCTTCGCTGGTCGAATGACGCCCCCGCGCTCCATCCTCTGTAACTCCTCAGTAACTCTGTCTCGTAACGCGAACGGGACGACTTGCGGCTTGAAAAATCTTGGTTTAGCACCCACCTGCACGGTAATCTGGGCGGCCACGCCATCAAAGGACCCAGTCCTTCTGAAAATACTTCATGGAACTGACTCACCGCTTCCTCCACAGACGTCACAGCGTTGACGACTTCTGGCTTGACGATTCCTAGCTTGAATTCCTTCATCCAGCTTCTTCCGAAAAGCGTAGGACACGGGCCCTTTACGACGAACAAGGGCAGAACGCGCTCGTTCTCGCCCAGCTTCAGTTGCCTCAAACTTGCCCGCCACAGGCTTCATGTCGCCAAAAAAACTTCTTAACTGGACGTCCGATGGCTCCAGCGTCGCCGAAGGAAACAGTTGCGTAAACTTCCTTTCGCTAATGGTTGACACGTTGGCACCGGTATCCAACCCCATGTTCAACGTCACTCCGTTGACGGCAACCCCAAAGGTCGTAAGGCTTCTGCGTTCCTGATTTGGATTCCGGCGCTGCCAGCTTGTCATCCACGTTGTGGACAGGTCTCGATCCACTCCTGGGTCTGGCCTTTTCCGTTTGACATGTATTGGATCGGCATACCCGGGCCAAATGCCCTCTCTGCTCACACTTGAAACAGACGCTGCCTACGTGACGACATTGGTGTGCTAGATGATTACCCCCACAGCGGAAGCAAGAACCACTTGCCTGCTGTTTGGTGGGCTTAGTCTTGACAACATTCGCAGACTCCCCGGCCTGCACAGGTGTCGTTTGAGCCAGCTGAGAACGTAATGCTCGGAAATCTTTCTTGGCAGCTTCCATGGCGATTACGGTGTTCCTCGCGGTCTCAAAGTCCAACTCGGCCATTTCCAGCAGGCGAGTCTGGATTGCGACGTCGTTGATTCCGCTCACGATTTGGTCCCGTAGCATGCGCTCCCGAAACGATGCGAACTTGCAGTCTTCGGCAAGCTTCTTCAGCGATGCGATGAAATCGTTTACAGGCTCTTCGTCCCGCCGATACCGAGAAAAAAACTTGAAGCTGGCCACCACCTCCGATACCCTCGGCGAGTAGTGCTTGTTCAAAGCTTCGAAAATCGCAGCCAATGTTGCATCGGCAGGCTTCGTAGGGGCGAGCAGGCTCCGCAGCAGCGAATAAGTTTCTGACCCGCAGCACGTCAGAAACACGGCAGTCCTCTTCGTTGCAGCGATGTCGATCACGGCGAAGTACAATTCTACCCGTTCGCGATACTCGGTCCAATCCGTCGTAGCCGACTCGAACGGTTCGACCTTCCCGATGACAGGCATGGCTGCTGAAGTTGATGCAGGACGAACAGGTAAGACGTGCGCGACCGTTTTTTATAGCTCGTCGCCAGTTGTGATAATCCACGCTAGGTACGCTGCCGGAGTCAAGGTCAGGGACAACATTCCAAATCAAGGACGTAGACCGCACTGACTGGCCCAGTCAGGCATCGTCTTCGTCGTCTGTTTATTTACCACCGCGGTGGCGCCCTCGTGTGTACAACGCAAGATATCACATTTCGGGCCTGTGGTGTGGGTATAGTTGGCCCAGAGCCTTTTATACTGGGAGAGTTCGGCGGTTCTTTGATCCAGCCGCCAGTCTGGCAGCACTGATCAAACAGTCTGGCAACTGTGCGCATCCGCCATGATGTGCCTTGCCGTCTAGCTTGATTGCACCTTTGCATTTAATTGCATTATAATTATAACCCTAAATTGCAAGCTTCACCCTTGTTGGTGTAAGGCTGGTGGCGGCTGATAAAACCCGTTTGCCCTACTGACTCGAGCCGGCAGTCGGCTCGCTAGAGTACATGGAGCGGGAGACGACGATGAAAATGATCGTTCTGCGCTGCGCTCTGCCAGACGTTAGATGAAAAAGAAATGGGGGGCTGCAGTGCCGTTGGGTGCTCGAACAACGCGAAAAATGGGTTCAGGATGTACCGGTTCCCGCAAGGAAAAGAAAACCGCGCAAGGTACAAGACCGGGGAAACCAAGAAGGGCTGACTGGAAGCCGAGTTCTCGATTGTGCGAGGTAAGTTTATGATTAACGTATGATTAACGTCCCAAAATGCTTGATTTTACGACTTTCTCCTTACGCCAACAAAAGCGCAAACGGCAAAACCTACACGCGTATACATCGCATGTCAATGGGGACCCACTCGCCGGGAGGCACATCATGGCGGAAGCAGCGCCCGCTGAGTCCGCTAGACCTAGCGGGCCGTAAGCCCCTCCCACCCGCCGAACTCTCCCAGTATAAAAGGCTCCGAGTTGGCCGTGAGCTCTGGATGGGCATGTACAGTGGGTACAGCGCCGCCATACTCTGGCAGATGAAACTCCTATCTGAACAGCTGACGACTTAGATTGTGTAGAAGCATAGAAGACGAGAAAAGCTCGGGACATAGGAGCGCGCTGGGCTCACGTGAATCGAGAGATTCGGATCCTGACGTGTATGAAGAACGGTCTTCGCAGTGCAGTTCTGGGGTTCAAAGTAAAGTGCGTTTATCCTGCCTACGGGTCCGTGTCTACTCCGCTGCAAATTGGTGACGAGGGTTCCTGGAGAATACCTGCAGAACGGCTCAAGATGATGAATGCATTGGGCGAGACGTTGCAGCGAGGAACATCGAACGTCTTCCGGCTCATGGGACAATGCAGGACCATTCGACACGAAAAAAGGGGACTGGAACTTTTACTGTATAAGGTTTCAAGCATCTCTGGACATCGCCGGAACGAAAGATGATGCAAGAAAAAGGAACTTTCTGATTGCATCTCTGGGGTCCGAGACGTTCAGGCTGCTGCACTCTCTGGTTGAACCGAGGCAGGTCAGTGAAGTTCCGTATACGGAATTGACAAAAACACTGGACACTCATTTTTCGCCGAAGCATTTCAAGGAATTTGAACGAGCGAAATTGTTTTCAACACGCCAGGATGAACGTGATAAACCAACTGAATTCTTTGCACGACTACGAACAGTCATTTACAACTGCGAGAATGAGAACGAAGTCAATGCTTGCGCATGTTCGTTGCTCGTTGCTTTTATAATTGGACTTCGAGATCAACGCTTGAGAGCACGTCTCGTCCAAGAGAAAGTGCTATCGATCGACAGTGTACTCAGATTGTCGGAAAACTTTCTTTGAGCAGAAGAAGAGTCCCGTCAATTGAGAAGCGCCGCCGAATCACCCATCGCAGTCAGCCAGGTGAGAGATCTACAGAGGTCTGCTAGACAATGTTTTCGTTGCGGGAATGCAAACCCCGTGAAAGACAAGAGCCGGTTCAAGTCTGGAGATTGCAGAGCTTGCGGAACCAAGGGGCACATTACTAAGATGTTTAGGAAAGGCCACTCAGGCAAATCCCGATAAACAAGGAAAGGAACGATGCAAGTAATCACCAGGTACAAAACTTGAAAGTATAAAACAGCGAGGACGAGGACGGGAACAGGACATCTTTCATTTAGCAACAACATAGAATGGCACAACGGTAAAAAGGTAAAGGATTTCACTAAGCTGTGGCAGTCAGTACATTGGACGCACTGGGAGATGCGTCAACCATCGACTCAGAGAACACAACTTGGAAGCATCAAAGGCTTCAAATGAGTCGTATCACCCAATTGTCGTTCACAACGTTTGGGCAGTTGATCCGCCACAAGTAGAAGCAAATGCATCGGTCATGGCTCTGGAACAATAAGCTGATGCGTCCGAGTCCACTGCGGTTCGTCGGTATCGGACCAGACTACGCAAAGCACCTGGTGTCTTCACATTCACCTGAAGAGGAAGGAATGTAGTAGCGTAAAAGACGAGAAAGACTCGAGACATAGGGGCGTGATGGGCTCACGTGAATCGAGAGATTCACGTGAGCCCATCACGCCCCTGATTGATTCCACGCATATGTGAGTGCTGTACTTTGGCAGTGCTTCCAAGCTCCTGTATAACCTCGTGATTTTCATAGAACGGTGTTTTTGTTAAAAAAAAACAACTCAAGATCACAAAACGAAATTAAGCATATATTTGTTTTGCTGTCCTCATTTTCGCAGCACGGTTTCTGATGACCTAATTTATTTTAACGAAGGTGGTACCGTCTTAAACTCATTTCTTTTCTTAACGACTGAGAGCTTCGAACTTTTCTATCAAGAACCGCTTTGTACTGCTTCGCGCTTGGTGGAATCTATAACTGAACCATTATTTCAAAAGCGTCCCTGAACAAGAGCTGTTCCGAGACAAAATGCAAAGCAACCCGAAGCCGAACCGGAACCAAACCGGAATAATGACCGGTTCCACTTCCTGCTTTTAACCCAGTCAATCTTCTAATATTTTCGTAGAAAACAAATAAAAGAAAATGATTTAAATGTACAATACACGTAAACGTTTACGTTTTAAGGCAGGTTCCATAATATGGTGGTACAGTCCCTAGGTGTGGCGCCTCATACCGATTTTCCTTTGTCAGTGTTTTTCTGTTCCTGCCGCAGAGCATGGAAATTTGGGGCATTTATACGCAGCGTCGGCTTCTAACAGCGCACTAGCGGTGCTGGTGCGAACTAATCGAAGCAGAGAAGATACATTCTTTTTCGCACGCACGCACGAACTAGACATTTTAAGGCCTTATCAAGCGAACAACACGTTACCCATGTATATGTGGAGGGTATACACAGTCCGTGTGCAAAGAACATGGGTGATTTTAATGTTTGGCGCCTCTTGGGACTCGCATTCCTTTTACACTTGCCCTCGCGATCGATGTCTGCAGTGACAAGAGGTTGCCACGAAGCGCTTTGTGCGACCACCCTTCGGCTTAGCACAATGAGTGATGTGAGGATGCTTTTCCCTACTCTTGGCGGTCGTATCCGCGTTTGATAACGTTAGCACCTTTATGCTGCTTTTTTTAGTAACACAATGTGGCTCTCTGTGGCCATTTTGGTTTCACCTTTTAAAATCAGAGGAATGGAATGGTGGTGAAGTAGAGCCAGGGGAGTGGGAATAAGCGCAGTGGCTTCATTCCGAGTAGCTGAAATAAATGGAATTGCCGGAAACTCTAATTACCCGGAATGGATTTGGAATGAAATGGAACTGCCAATGCACGAACACAGCTCTGAATGACAGTCATATTGAATGCTAAAGTGCCTTGCCGTCGAATACACTAAGGGTTCTCTTTTGATATGAAAATGTGAGCACCTTAATTATTTCTAAGCGACTCTATTTTTTTCGACGCGAA